ATTACTTATTACCATATATTAAAGCCAACCAGTGAATTAAATCAGCTACTAAACTGTTTGATACTTAAAGCTGACATTATCATCTAATTATCTCTAGAAAAAATAATCTTTGGCTCCTTCATTCTGTTTGTATGCCATTTCACCTCCCATCTTAAAATATTAGCTCATACTTCCCAAACATCAAGCAATAAGTTAGAGTTGGCATTTTTATCTCATTTCTAATTTCGGACTATGTCTAGTGTTTTACCACTAAGCATGATACTGGATTTTTTTTAGAAGTCAGGTTTATTGAGGTAAAATTTACATATAGTAAAATTTACCATTTAAGTAAATACCACAATTAATATAGAAAAGATTTTCTTCACTACAGGTAGTTATGTCAGGTCCCTTTCTGGTAAATCCACTCCCCTCCACACCCAGACAATTACTGACATTTTCTGTCCCAATAGTTTTGCATTTTCAGAAGTCAAATACATAGAACTACAGTATGTAGCCTTCTGAGTGTGACTTCTCTATTAACTAATTTGACATTCATCCATGTTGTTGCATCTATCAGTAATTCATTCCTTTTATTGCTGAATTGTATTCCACTGTATTCCACAACTTATCTATTCACCAAATGATAGACATTTGGGTTATTTGCCAGTTTTAGTGATTATGAATAAGCCACTATAAACGTTCACATACAGTTTCTGTGTGGATGAATGTCTTCATCTTTCTTGGGTAGACACCTAGAAGTGAGACTGCTCGGTCATATGGTAAGTATATGTTTAACTTTATAAGGAACAAACTGTTTCCTAAAGTGGACGTAACCATCATATATTCCTACCAGTTGTGTTACAGTATTGTACAGATACCCATCTATACCTATTCCACTAAATTTTTTTTTTATTCTTAAGGTATCATTGATACAATCTTCTGGAGGTTTCACATGAGCAACACTGTGGTTACTACATTCACTCATATTATCAAGTCCCACACACACACCAAAGTCACTGTCCATCAACGTAGTAAGAAGCTACAGAGTCACTACTTCTCTGTGCTATGTTGCCTTCCCCATGACCCACATACATTACCGTGTGTTAATCATAATGCCCTTTAATCCCCTCCTCCCTCCCTCCCCACCCTCTTCCCTTTGGTAATCTCTTCTTGGAGTCTGTGAGTCTACTGCTGTTTTGTTCTTCAGTTTTGCTTTGTTGTTACACTCCACAAATGAGTGAAATCATTTGGTACTTGTCTTTCTCCACCTGGCTTATTTCACTGAGCCTAATACCCTCTAGCTCCATCCATGTTGTTGCAAATGGTAGGATTTGTTTTCTTCTTATGGATGAATAATATTTCATTGTGTATATATACCACATCTTCTTTATCCATTCATCTATTAATGGACACTTAGGTTGCTTCCATCTCTTGGCTACTGTAAACAGTGCTGTGAAAAACATAGGGGTGCATATATCTTTTTGAATCTGGGACCTTGTTTTCTTCAGGTAAATTCCTAGGAGTAGAATTCCTGGGTCAAATGGTATTTCTATTTTCAGTTTTTTGAGGAACCTCCATTACTGCTTTTCACAATGGTTGAACTAGTTTACATTCCCACCAGTTTAGGAGGGTTCCCCTTTCTCCACATCCTCGCCAGCATTTGTTACTCCTGGTCTTTTCTATGTTGGCCATCCTAACTGGTGTGAGGTGGTATCTCATTGTGGTTTTAATTTGCATTTCCCTGATAATTAGTGATGTGGAGCATCTTATTATGTGCCTCTTGGCCATATGAATTTCTTCTTTGGAGAGGTGTCTGTTCAGATCATCCACCCATTTTTTAATCAGGTTATTTGCTTTTTGGGTGTTGAGGCATCTGAGTTCTTTATATATTGTAGATGTTAACCCCTTGTCAGATGTCATTTATGAATATATTCTCCCATACTGTAGGATGCTTTTTTGTTCTACTGATGGTATGTCCTTTGCTGTACAGAAGCTTTTTAGTTTGATGTAGTCTCATTTGTTCGTTTTTGTTTTTGTTTCCATTGCCTGAGAAGATGCGTTCAGGAAAAAGTTGCTCATGTTCATATTCAAGTGATTTTTTGCCTATGTTTTCTTCTAAGAGTTTTATGGTTTCAAGACTTACATTCAGGTCTTTGATTCATTTCAAGTTTACTTTTGTGTATGGGGTTAGACAATAACCCCATTTCATTCTCTTACATGTAGTTGTCCAATTTTGCCAACACCAGTTGATGAAGAGGCTGTCATTTTCCCATTATATATTCACGGCTCCTTTATCATACATTAATTAACCATATATGCTTGGGTTTATATCAGGGCTCTCTATTCTGTTCCATTGATCTGTGAGTTTGTTCTTGTGCCAGTACCAAACTGTCTTGATTACTATGGCTATGGAGTAGAGTCTGAAGTTGGGAAGCATAATCCCCCCCAGCTTTATTCTCCCTTCTCAGGATTGCTTTGGCTATTTGGGGTATTTTGTGGTTCCATATGAATTTTAAAACTATTTGTTCTTCTACTAAAATTTTTAAAACGTGACATGTTTGTTGAATTCTATCAAATGCCTTTTGGCAGTTATTAAAATGTTCATTGTTGATCTCTTTTTCCTATTAAATATGAATGATAGACTTCTTAATAATGAATGATTCTTGATTCTTGGAACAAACACACCTAGTCACGGCTATCATTCTTTTTAATTTCATCTGTTAAAGTTAAAAATTTTTACACTTGTATCCATAAATGAGATTATTTAGTGTATATTCCTCCTCTTCTCTTTGTGAGTGACAAGGGTATTTTGGTTGTCACAGAGAGATTTTCAAAAAACACATGGGTATGCTTTCAATTATACAAATTCATACTGGAAGAGGCAAAACTATAGAGACGATTAAAAGATCAGTGGTTGCCAAGGATTTGAGGAGTGGAGGGATGTATGGCAGAGCACGGAGGATTTTTAGGGCAGTGAAACTATTCTGTATGGTATTATAATGGTTCATACATGTTATTATACATTTTTCAAAACCCACAGAATGTACATAACCCGGAATGAGCCCTAATGTAAACTATGGACTTTGGGTGACAATGATGTGTCAGTGTTGGTTTAATTATAACAAACATACCACTCTGATGCAAATGCTGATGGTTGGGGAGATTCGGGGGGGGCGGGGTGGAATAAGGGGCTTTCCATTCAATTCAGCTGTGAACCTAAAACTGCTCTAAAAAATAAAGTCTATATTCTAAAAAAAAAATCTTAAAAAGATTTCTTCAGCATTCATAAATGAGATTGGGTGGTTTTCCTCTTTGTGGGGGAAAGAGGAAATTATATTTGCCACACATGGAAGAGCTTTTTGAAGAACAGCTGCCTCAACTGTCCTTCCAAAGAACTTGATTACAATAGGTCTAAGGCATATACAAACTCTCTAGTGTTTTGTTTTATCTCTTAAAGATTCCCAAATGACTTATGATATGCATCTCCAATTGCAGATCACTATAGTGGAACAAAAGTTTTGTTGTAAAATAATGCAAAATTACAAATGAAATGTAGGCTTAAGATGAACTAAAGAGAGTTTTGATAACAAAGAAATGAAGTAAAATCTATAAGGTTTATTAGAGGAACAACAAAACAATAGTATGAGAAAATTATATTTATCCTAAGCAAATATGTTTAGGATACTATTACCTAGCAATTTAAAAACTTAATTATCAATAATTTTTCAAAGTACCCTCCCAGGAAGCAGAAGACTACAAAATTAAAGCCGTTACGCCTTATTTTTCTCTCGTCTTCTAGAGTAAAGCAAAAAAGCAATGAACTTAAAAACAAGATGCAAACTGGTGGTGAAATAGAAATGAAATCTGCTCTTGCAAAATAACATCTTCTATTATCTCCTTTATATCCATGTAGTTAAGTATCAAATTTTGCTTATTATTCCATCCAAAGTTTTGGTTTTATCTATTCCTATCTATCCCAGTCTGGTCCAGGTCCTTGTCATCCTATAGATAACTGCAACAGCTCTAACCCACCCTTCCTCAAACTCAGATTCTCTGTTCTTCAACTCATCCTTCACACAGCTCTCAGATTAACCTCAACACCTTTTTCACTGTATTACCTAAGGACCCAGAATGAATCTTTAGCACTTAGATCAGATCTTAACAACTCTGTCCTACAAGATGCCTTGGCCTTGATTCATTCAATACTCTCTCCATTCTCTACCAATCTATACCCAACAAACTGAGTATAGATCTTTTTATATTTTTATTATATTGAAGACAGTATATATTCAGTGTGCTGAGTCAATCCACCCAGTCAGTAAATCCCAAACACGAGCTAAACATTCAGTATTTAACATTCACAATATTCTTTGTGCAACACCATAAAATGCTAATACATTCAATTCCATCATATAAAGTAAGCATAATTTTATTAGAAAACATGACATGCATTTGGTATTAAAAAACCAAAACTGCAAGAAAGTATGACAAAATGAGCAAGTTATATATTTAAAATCTAAAAATGAATTTAGGTATAAAAAAGTTCTCAGTTCATCTGTAAAAATTAAGTATCATTGGTGATCAACTTCTAGTTAAGTGGTAGCAGGCCCTTTTAAAAGATTTTAATAAAAATCAGGGTAGAAAAATAAAATGGAAAATATCCTACCCATTTTCTTCTTGTAAAGTAATTTAAGTACCTTTATTTTAGTGACAACATTCTAGCATTCAATGGGGGCAAAATCTGAAAAACCCTGACATAAGCCACCCCTATGACAAATCAATGCTGCAGATATGATTCACAAGTGCCCATCTCTGGTTACATCTTACAGATCTAACCCCATTAATCTAACAGAAACCTCTATTTTCTCTCATGCCCCAACATCAGACCTTCTTCCACTGAGATGTTAACTATAACCTCGACCTTCAATTCTGACCTCACCTTCTAGTACCTTTGGGTTACCAATTTGCTAGGCTCCCCAAAGACCCTGTCAATATCCAAATAGTTAAGGGAAAATATTTACCAAGAGTTTTAGGAATCCACACCCTAGGATGCAGTAATTCCACTTTTGGAACTCATCTAAAAGAAATAAAATCAATAAAAAAGAAAAAAATTAAATCAGCAGTATGTATAAAAATGTTCACTAGAGTGTAACTGATTAAATGAAAAACTGTAAATGCAAAAATTCCAAAATGAGGGCTTAGGTATGGGAAATGAACATAATACACTGAGAAATGAGAAAAACAGGACACTAACATATGAAAAATCTGGGTGCTGGGAACAAAAACCCAACTTGTATTTTCTCCATACTTTTTAAATTTTCATAAATTAGAATACAAAAACTTTGAGTGGACATATTTTTCCTTAGCTTCCAATTTTCTACACTAAGCAATATACAAATTACATAGTAAGAAAAGCTTTCAAAAAGTAGAGCTGAAAGCATATGTTCACTACAAATGAAGCTTCCTACCCTATCTACAACACTGAATCTATTTTTGGCTAGAATTTTATCAACTCAACATGCTGTTATTTCATCAAAGTTCTGATTGTATACTTTAGGTTTTTATGAAAGAGCAAGACTATGTCTTCCCTTATAGTTGATGTTTTTTAATATATAAATATCTTCCCCAAAATTGGCAAAAAGAGTTCCATAATGGTAAAAAAAATGCAAATTTGCCTTTATCTGACTCAGTCGGGGATTACTGAATTTAATATTTTCTGTAATATATCTATTACATGTACACTTATAAGGGTTTTAATATTTCAAATTAAGAATTAGTACATACAGGATGTACCTTTCTTCCCAAATTATATTAAATACTCAAAACTCAGAAATTTAATTTTAATCTTCAACACTAAGCATAGTACTGAACATACAGCAGTTGCTCAAATACTGGAAAGACTGAACAGACCAGAAAATAAAGGCTTTATATAAAAAAATTAAATGGTGGATTTAGTAGATTAATTCATCCTAAAATTATAAATTTTTTAAACGAATGAACCAGAAAATAGATCAGAAGAGAATCACAGATGATAGATGAGAAGTCAAAACCTTCTTAGAAGCTGTAAACAGAGTCAAATGGTATTTTACCAGCAAAGTGGAGGACTCTAAAACCTAAGTATCTGCAAAGAAGCTGACTCACACTGCCCACAAACAGGAGTCTTCACAGACCCAGAAGCTCCCCAGGCATTTCTGAAGGTAGAGTGAGGAATGGGATTCAAAACTATAAAGTTGGCTGAAAGTGTACAAAACAACCATCACACCCAGATTTCCTCACCCACTGTGCACAGCCAGGCAATCATCCCTCCTCAACCCCTACAGATGTTGAGAGGATTACTCTTCAGTAACCAAATTAGAGGGGCTCTAAAGTGGGGACTCCAGTACAGGAGAGAGTGGAGTGAGATGCTATATAAAAAAACAGGATTACATGAACACAATTAACAGGTGAGAACCCCAGCTCTTTTCCTAAGATGAGTTCTCAAAACATAGCAGCCAGGTGTATATCCTCCAGGCCAGAGATTGGAAGCGCTCTTTTTCAAGAAAGCTGACCAGGCCAAGAGAAAAGATGAGTGTCCCCTCTGCCCATAAATGGCCACCCATTACCCTGTTCATCCTTTAACAAGCCACACTTATACAGCTTCCAATTCGGGTTTTTAGCACTTCATTCTTAAATGTGAATGTACAGCCATAATGTTACCAACATCTAGAAAAGCCTCAATAGAGAACAGACAGTAATGGAAACAAAAGGAATTTGAAAGAAAGAGAGCAATGAGGGGAACAAAATAAAACTAAAACAAAACTAAACTATTATTAATATCCTCAGAGGGATTATAGTATCTATGAAACAATATAAAGATACTACATTTTACGTATAGCTAGAAATTAAAAATTCAATAGAAGGGTTGGAAGTAACACTGAGAAAATCTCTCATGAAACAGAAAAGACTAAGTGATAAAAAATAGGGAAAAGAAAATAAAATTAAAAGAACAACTAGAGTTCCAATATCCAAATAACGCAAATTCCAAGAAAACAAAAAACTGGTAAGGAAGAGATTATCAAAGAAACAATGGATACTTCACACTATCCATTCATGAAAGACATCATGTGACAAAATTAACATAATTATAGAAGATACTTTCCCAGTCTAAAATCAACAGACCATTTCAAATTAGCCTCCACCAGGAACTTCTACAAAACAGAAAGGAAGAAAGGAAAACCAAAGAAAAGCTAGACAAATAACAAAATAGACAATTATCAAAAGGGAAAACCTGAATGGATCCAAAATATTCTCAAACTCATCAGTAATCAGAGATGTAAATTGAAACAATGAGATACCACTTCATATCTATCAGACTGGCAAAAACTGGTGAGAAAAAACAAAGTACCGGCAAAGATATGGGCAAATGAGAACCCTCCTGCACTGCTAGTAGGCACATAAACTAGCTCTCCTATTCTATGACCCAGGAACACCACTCCTGGGTACATATCCCAGAGAACTTGTCACACAGGTCCATAAAGATGTACGAGTAAGAAGAGTATATTTACCATAGTGTATTTGTGATACCAGCAAAGCAACTCAGGTATCAGTCATTACATACATACATACACACCCCACTAAATATTACATATTGGCTCACCTATAAAAAAAGAATGTATCAACCACAGTGCTGTGGGTGCCTCTGCTGGAAAGGGTAATGGAAGCAGGGCTCAGAAATGAAAATTTTAGACAACCTTGTATGGTCTGACAATAGTGTGTCAAGAACTCAGAAGTATAACTAAGTCAAGCTTTTTTACCTAAAGTCCAAAAAATAGTAACAGTAATAATACAAGAAATTTCCCAGAACTAAAGGACATGAATTTCCAGCTTGTAAGTGTTCGCAGAGCACTTTTTGTAAATGGAAAAAAGTCACATATAGGCACATAATAATGGAATTTTAGGGGTTAATAATAATATCCTAAAAGCTTCTAGAGATTAGAAGAAAGACAGCAGGAGGTCATATATAAATGAAGAATCAGAATGGGCCTTGGACTTCAACAGCAATATTGGAATACAGAAAAAGAGTTATTACTTCCAAGTTGTTTAAGCCCAGAATTTTATATATAGCCTAATTATTAATGAATGTTAAGGAAGAATAAAATTTTTTTTCCCCAATCATGAGCTCTCAGACAGTTTTTACTTCCCAGAGACCCTTTCTCAGGAAGTTAAGTAAATCTGTGAAACAGGACCCCAATACAGAAGAGGGGCAAAGAGAATTGTAAGGATAACATAAAGAGGAATTCCAGTAGAACAGCTGTGAAATAGGCCTAGAAAGAAACCAGCAGCACCAAAAAGAGAGAGAGCTCCAAGACAGCTGTCTCAGGAAATGAAAGGGAAAAATATTAACTCCTGGAAAAACAAAAACTGGTTAAGAGAAGAAATGTTATCATACTACATGGTTCAGCTGTAATTATTACAGTTATAATATTGTAAGCACATTAAATATTGATTTAATAAATATCTATGATAACTATAATGAGAGGATGGGAAAGGCAGTATGCATATGTGGAGGAAAGTCAATAGATAATGTCTAAAATTGCTCTCTCAAGAAATAGCAATAGGAGCAAGTTACACTTGAACTTTGAACAACACAGGTTTGGACTGTTTGGGTCCATCTGTGTGCAGATTTTTGCAGTAAGTATACTGAAAACACTTTTGGAGATTTGCAACAATTTGAAGAAACTCTTCTTTCCTCTGGCTTACTTTAAGAATATAGTATATAATACATACACAAAATATGCATTAATTGACTGTATTATCATTAAGGCTTCCAGTCAACAATAGGCTATTTACAGTAAAGTTTTTGGGGAGTCAACAGTTATACAGGAATTTTCAATTGGGAGGTGTTGGGGTTAGTGAACCTAACCCAGGCTTTGTTCAAGGGCCAGCTGTGTTTATTATAAGTATGTAAGAGTAAACACCTAGAAGAAAGAAAATGGTAGTCTCCATAAAGTGCAGAGGCTGGGACAGGAGACAGCTGTTTTCCAGATATTATTCTAATTTAAAAATTGTATTTTTTTAATGGCAATAAAGAACTTGAATAGCCTTTCAGCTTTTAGTAAATTAGATCTTCACAGCAGCATTTAATACATCTAGTTTTTTCTGCTGCAGAGACTGAACTGCAAACTAAAACAAAATCAAGCTTTAGTGATTAATGTGAACACAGCACCAACAGCCCTGTTCAAATCCCAGCTCTACCACTTACTATATAAAGTAGCCCAAATTACCTATCCACCCTGTATACATAAACCACCCCCTCAAAGCGGTTTTGCAAGGACAATTAAGTGAAAGTACCTGAAGTAGTGCTTGACCCATCAATACATGTTAGTAACCTTCTGCTCTCTTCCTGTTGCCTAACTGTAAACTCCCATTCTGACCCCACACTGCCTTGTTGAAGAGTAGAGACTCATGAACACTCAGCACATACCCCTCCGCATGCTGAATCAATCATGATGAGTAAGCAGACTTATCTTTGTATACGAAGGACAGCATTATTCTTGTTATGTGACGATCATCCCCATTATTCACATTCTGGATTACTGCCTGCTTTCAAGATCTGTCCCCATTAGTCTACTACACTAAGTCAGAACCAATTTATCATTTATGTCTGTTTTGTATAGTAGTAACATTTTTAAAAACAAACAAACCAAAAAAACCCTGTACATTTCATAAGTCTTCATCGCTGTTGTTTTCTAATGCAAACCTCATCTGGCCTCCCTGTTGACCTGGGGCCACCTCCTGCTTACTGCAGCAAGAATAGAGTGAAATCAGCCCAAATCACCTAACTGAATTACCATTTCCAATTTTTTCTTCCATTATTATGGCAGAAGTCATAATGCCTGCAAAGTACAGATTTTAAAACAGAAAGAGTAATAGGGAAATATCTTTCTCACTAGGTCAGTCATCTTTACTTGCATGGCCAAAAGTTTTGATTTATTAAAAGTCTTCATACATACTTCTAAAAACTGACAGACTTAAAAACACAAACATCATAAATTATCAAGACTTTACCATTAATTCAAACACCAGAGATAAAAAGAGTAAGATATAAACTCTACTCTCAAATGAAAGGGGAAAGGTAAAATCAAAATCAAGAGCAAGAGAAAACAAAGGAAATAGTCCAGGAGGCAATTGAGAGCGATTCCAGACAATCTGATATAATTTATAACACAGTTGAGGCTAAGGAAAATTATAAAAATTGGACAAAGCCCTGAGCCACCTAAGAGTCAAAGTGTAAAGAGAAACAGGATGGCTTACAAAACATAAATGACCTTTAAGAGCAATTTGTTTATAAAAAAAGAAAAAGGCATTATCATTGGGGTCTTAAAAAGAATTTGTCTCTAGCATCTCTATAAGGATCAATAAATTATAAACAATGTCTCAGAGAGTAATGAAGATCTGTTCCTATGTTAATTAGAAACAATGTCTCAGAGAGTAATGAAGATCTGTTCCTATGTTGCCTGCTTTTATGTGCTAATTCCTAGATAAAATTCAAGGTGCCTAATATTAAATCACGGTTCTGTAAAGAAACTTTTATGAAGGTCTAACACAGAATAACACAAGTATACTGACTTCAGATGAGGCATTTATTTCTGTCATTCAGTTTAGTCTAGGATATTATAAACACGGGCTTTGTTTCCCTAAACTGTAAACCCCTCAAGGTTTCTGTGACCTGATTCCATTTGAACTTCCTTTGTTATTTAGTAGAGTACTTTACAGTTTCTGCTCAATTATAATGAGTGATAAAATGTCATGTAGTCAATATTAATATTCATTATTTGTTAGTCTTCCCCTTTACACTATAAAGTCCATAAAGACATGGAATCAAAACAGTGTCTTGATCATGTCAATGCCCTCAGTCTCTGGGCACATGATTACTCCTTGAGTATTCACTGAAGGAATGATTAAAAAAAGAAACCACAACCAGTAAGTATGAAAGGAGAGGAGAAATAATTCTTAAAATGGCAGGGATTGTTCTAAGGTTGGTTTCAACAAGAGTTGGATGACCTTAGGGAAGTTACTTAAAAAGCTTTCATTGGTAGAATAGAAAAAATGTACGTGTACTTAAGAGTTACTGTTAGCATTAGATGTTTTAACATAATGTGTTTAGCATGGTACCTAGAAAAGCAGCTCAATAATTAACTCCTTTACTCTTCCGTGTCCTCTATCTTAAAAGGTACTACACATAAAACAGTGCCTTCTAAGAATAAACCACTCAGTAAAAATACAACAAAGTTCATCATCACTTCCCTTTGAAAAGTTAAAATTTCATCTCTCCAATCTTTAAAATATAGTGGGGATAATAACTTGTTGATTATTTTCAAAATATTACAAATACAGGAACAAGTTACGGGAAATAGCAATGCCAAGACTGAGCCTTAAAGCAAGCAACAAGAAGGGGGAAAATCACTTTCTCGTCAACTGGTAAGAAACAGTTGAAGGAACTCTGTATTAAAGGAAAATGGGATTGAGAAAGTAAAAGAATTTATTAGTATGTTTCAGAAAAAATGCTTAAAATGTTATTCTTTAAAAACCCTTAAAAATCAATTATTTTGAAAGTGGGACACTGAATACTTCCACTCAAACCTAAAACATCCCTGATAACAACTTCCCTGACCCCAGTCATCCCTCGGTTTATCCCTCCCATTTTAAGCTAATACTTCACTGTTTCCCTCACATCACCACTTACACACGCTCTGTGCAAAGTTGTCATTCCTATAATTACCACGCCCGTCAGCCGCTTCAGGCCCATGTTGTTATGACATCTGTAAACTGCAGTCGCCCGTCTCCACCCCCGCCGCCTCCCGCCAGGCCACCGGCTCCGGCTCCGGCTGTAACCTGCGAATTCCCGAGACGGACCCTCCCCGCCTCGGTCAGGATTTTTACACGCCCTCCACCCTCCGCAAGCCCTCTCCCGCCTCAGCCGCGGCGCTCGAGCCGCCCACCCCCGCCCCCCGCCCGCTCGTCCCAAGCCGCCGCGCAGGCTCGGCGCCCGTCTCCTCTCCGCCCCGCTGCCTCGGCGCCCCGCAGTCCCCGGCGCTGCCTCCAGCCCCGCCGCCGCTGCCGCCGCCCCGCCCCGCTTCAACCGGCGTTCCCGAGGGCGATCACACCAGCGCTCCCCGCCCCCACTCCCCGCCGCCCGCGCGGCCGCTAGGACAGCCGGGCCCGACACACGGTTGCGCCGCAAGCGCCCGGGCCAAGGAACGCGAGCTCGAGCACAGGCGCCCGCCCTCACCCCGGGCCTCTCCGGGGTCCCGCGGAGGACTGCCGGATCTGCCGGCGGGAGGGGGAGGGGCCGCGGCCGCGCAGCCCCCGCACTCACCAGGCTCCAGGCAACCGCCCCCGGTGCCAACGGTGGTGCTTGCTTGCTCGCCCGCCCGCCGAGCCTTTCCCCGCACACAATCTCGAAGAGCCGGCCCGCGCCCCCGCGGTGCTCACCAGGCCTCGCTCTCTGCCGCCGCGCACCCAGCAGCGAGACCCAGCTCAGCGGGCTCTCTCTGTGCGCCTGCGCGTGGGGGCCGGCCCGCGCGCCTGCGCACGCCCCTCCACCGCCCTGCTGCAGAGGCTGCCGGGAGATGTAGTCTAACTGTCTTTCCCTGTGAGCTCTGGCCGGCTGCGAACGAGCAGAGTTGAGGTTCGGAAGATCGCTGAAGAACAGGTTCGCTGTCAATGGCAAAGGTCAAAGAATCGTGGTGGAGTGACCATCAGACTGTACTTATTAGGCTGAATTACAAAGTTATGTCCACAAACCTGTCTTTGAATCTCTTCCAGGGCGGATGGATCCTCGCCTAACCTCTGCGTATACATAGCCTCTAACATGGTTGGTACGTTTATTGAACGAACGATGGAATGAATGAAGACTAACGGAGTATTACAAAACAGTTAAAAGTCAGCACCTCAGGTCTAAAGCATTCACAGGCAGCACGTTTGAGGAGCTCTGGGTATTCGTTTTTCTAGTTCTCTCCCATCCCCTTTGCCTGATAATATATGAGGAGTATCAAAAATCATTAAGAAATTAAGTAAAACGTAAATACTTGTTTTACTCTCAATAGGTGCTCTAAAAAAAACATTTTGGGGAAATAATTGTTACTGTTAAATTTGATGGAATTCTTTTGGGAGAATTCTTTTTGAGCAGTAATTTCAAAAAAAGGCTGAAGCCAGACAAGTAGAGGTCACAGTAGTAGAAAGTATCACATGTGACATGGGTTAATCAAATCGATTTGAAAAATCTGCCAAGGAACAAGATGAAAGAGATGGTGTAGCTTCATACATTTGGAAGAGAGGACCATGCTGCCTGAATCCTAGCCTATGCAATGTTCTCTTGTCCTGGATCTCTCTCTGCTGCATGAGTATTCCACTCTGATGGTGTGTTTCCTAGGACACATTAAGTTTGAACAAGGGGCCTGGAGAAAGGGAGGTGTTCTAAGGGAAAGAGAAGCAAGTATACCTGACCACAGCTAAACAGAGGACAGATAACTTGGGGCCCAAGATTCACAAATTCTCACTGCCATGGTAGCTTTTCAATGCCTTGATGTTTTTTTACATTTTATCCAAATGATCTTAGTGGAGGGAGGTGGTAGGATTTGTTCAAGACAACAACAGTAGGCCATTGCTGAAGCAGAATTCCTATATATATGCTACTTTTCCAGAATGTTTTCATACCATACATAGATAGTGTTTTATTATTTCTTATTTTGAGAAATTTTAAAATTATAGAATGGTTTTGCTATTACAAATGATGCTGCTATAAAAATTCTTGCACATATCTTCGTGTGTACAGGAAATCTGCTAGACCCTAGGAAACTGCATCTTTAACTTAACTAGATGTGGTAGGCAGAGTTCTAGGAAGGCCCCCATGATTTTGTTCCTGGTGTTGCCCTGTGTAATCCCTACCCTCACGTATGGGTAGGACCTTTGACTTACTTCTGACCAGCAGCATATGGTAAAGATGATGGGATATCATACCCATGATTTTATTTATCATATAAGTCTCTATCTTAGCACACTGGAGCCGGACAATTTTCTGCTGGACTTGAAGAAAGGAGATGTTATGTTGTGAACTGCCTCTGGAGAAGGCCACATGACAGGGACCTATGGATGGTTTGAACTGAGTACAGCCTCCAGATGATAACCAGGAAGAAGCTGGAGCCCTCAATCCTACAACTACAAGGAGATCAGTTCTGCCAAGAATGTGAAAGCTTAGAAGCAGACACATCCCCAGTCAAACCTCAGATAAGAAGACAGCCTGATTTATATCTTGATTGCAGCTCTGTGAGACCCTGAGCTGAGGAGCCTGCCAAGCGAGGCCTCTACCTTCGCCCACAGAAACTGACACAATATGTTTTAAATCACTGGATTTCTGGTAATTTTTACACAGCGATAGAAAACTAATATACTACATGTTGCTGGATTATTCCACAAAGTCATTATATAAATTTATACTCTACAAGCAATACATAAGATTCTCTTTTCTAAACATCCTTTTTAACATTTGGAAATTTCTGACTTTCTTTTTCCCAATATGATGGGTATAAAAACAAATTATAATATGTGATAATTATATATGTTAGTACTTTAACATGAAGACATGAAAAATAGGTATTTACTTACAATTACATATTTTGTTGTGTTTCTGTGGATAAAATGAGAGTTCCTGTGGACCGGATTCTCACCTGGCGTGGTTGACTAGCTTATTGCATACCTGTGGGCAATACATGACTATTGACTCTATAAAAAGCTCTGCCCAGTGCTATGGGCACAACACAGTGGCAGGGCTGCAAGACTGAAGGAGAGCAGAGCAGAGGCTGGAGTGGTAGCGGTGCTGACGACAGAGGCCCAGCGGACTGCTGTGTGGGACGACTGTGCAGAGAGGCCTGGAGGACAGCTGTGCGGGATGGCTGTGTGGATAGAGGGGCCCAGAGGCAGAGACTGGCTTGCTGACTGCAGACTCACTCTGAGTGAACAGGATTTTAGTGACTGACCTGCCACCTGGAAATAAAGTTGGGTATAACCCTTTCACCCCAAGAATGTTTTGCTGTCATTTTCTTTGGTCACACTGAATCCATAGCAAACTTGCTTGGGGCTGAAACCCATTGGCAAGACAATTGGCGTAGTCGGCAGATTCACTCTTGACCAAGGGAAAAGACAAGCTGCCCTTATGGGAGACAGTGGATTGTCCCCCAATGGGTATGTGGTCTGAGGTGGCTTGCCTCCTAGAGGACTGGGCACCACCCCAAGACAGGAGGCAAGTGGAGGTGACAACTGAGGCAGCAAGGGTGGCTATTGGTAGAGTGAGTGGATCCTTTGAGAAGCAGAGTGCCCATGAGGCAGAAGGGACTGTGGGTTGGCTGCTTCTCACAGTCTTAAAAAGGTGTACAGAGGAGACCCAAGAAATGACGGCACGAGAATGTGAGCTGCAAACCTCTGTGGAGTCCCTGAGGAAGGAGATGGCCTTGATGCGAGAGGAGGCAGCACGAGAGTGCCACTGGAGATGAGATGGCAGCGCTGCCAGGTGTTCTGGAGGAGGAAGAGGTCATCAAGGAGAGAGACGAACTCCTGAGGGAAGCACAGGCAGAGGTGGCACGAGAACGTCAGCTGCGAAGCATTGAGCTGAAGGTAAGAGACCTTCTGAAGACTGAGCTGGTATTGCTGTGAGGCACTGTAACAGAGGAGGCACGTGGGGGAGTGGAGAGAAAGGTGCCATCAGTCCCAGAAATGGAGAAGCTGGGGAAGGACGAAGGGGTGGTGCCGGAGGCATCTGCGCCTCCTGTATTGAAAGCACGCCCAGTGGTTGTAAAGAAAATAAAGACCCAGCAGCTGAAAGTCCCCCAAGGAGAGGAGCAGCCCCCTCCCCAGTTCGTGGAGCACTCTACAGACCACCCTCTACTCAGGCTGAGCTGGGGGCTGTGGGACTTAGGGGTGGATGGAATTGTTCCCAGAGATGGGAAAGCTATCTTCCCTGACAGTGCAGCCTGCCTTGAGGCAGCAATTACAAAATGTGAGGTGACACGTACAGTAGCTGAAGCAACAAGAACCCAGAAAGAAATAAGACCTGTTATTCACAGGAGGAATTTGAGGGGCCATGTGTGGGTTACGATTACTCAGATGTGAGTTGATTTGATATGGGCAGGAGTAGATGAAAGAAAAGTAGATGGGAAGCCAAATAGGATCTTCCTGGAGCTATGGCAACAACTGAAATCAGAGCAGCAGTTCCAGCCATTAAGACCAAAGAGGCAGAGGTCAGAGAAAGAGTCACAAGTCCAGCCTGTGTGTCTGCAAGACTTTTTGCTGGAGAGGCTGGAGAACAATGTTCGAACTTCCTTGCACAGGGACCATTGCAGAGGACTAAGGGCACATAGATTGAGAGGAGAGAATCCTGGAGGGGTGGAGTGTGGATAAAATGAGAGTTCCTGTGGCCAGGATTCTCACCTGGCCATGGTTGACTAGCTCACTGCACACCTGTGGGCAATATATGGCTGTTGACTCTCTATAAAGACACCCAGTGCTCGGGGTACAACACAGTGGCAGGGCTGCAAGGCTGCAGGAGAGCAGAGGCTGGAGTGGTGGCAGCACTGAAGACATAGACCCAGAGGATGGCTTTGTGGGACGACTGTGCAGAGAGGCCCGGAGGACGGCTGTGCCAGATGGCTGTGCAGACAGAGGGGCCCAGAGGCAGAGACCAGCTTGCTGCCTGCAGACTCACTCTGAGTGAATGGGATTTTAGTGACTAACCTGCCATCTGAAATAAAGTTGGGTATAACCCTTTCACCCCAAGAACATTTTGCTGTCATTTTCTTTGGTCACAATGAATCCATAGCAAACTTGCCTGGGGCTGAAACCCATTGGCAAGACAATTTCTTTTGTGTTTCATAAATGATATTACTTAAAATAGCAACAGGAAAAGCCAAAATGGCAATTAGTAATAATTAATAGAACTAATTTAGCAATTAATATGTGTGAGAAGAATATAACACTATATTTAAGGCAGAATATTTTTGTTTCTTTCCTCTGGTACAGCAATTTTTTTAACCCTTATCTGCATATTTAAATTTTGTTGGCTGTGTTATTCTGTACTTTTAAGATACATAAATGTAAGGGATATTTTAAGGACAATGTAAACATAATAGAACAAATTAAATAGATATTACCTATGTTAAATAGAAAATACTGACATATTTCTTTCTCTGGTGATACCAGAGAGATTTTCATTCTTTCCATTTCCAGTTCAACTAATACTTGTCTGAACTGCCTGGACTCTTTAAGACACTTTCTTTTCTTGTACGTAATTGAAAAATTGAATAGAGTCAAGTGTAAAATTAATTTGACTTTCAACTATGTTCTACCTGCACTGCACTAATTCCTGTTGTCAGTTCAAATAACATCAAACTAAATACTCTGTCAACAAAGTGTTTGAACATAGGGTACTTGGACTTTATACACCAGACAGCAGGTTTCTACAGTTAATAGGGATTCACCTCCAGTTCTCCAAAATATGTACCCAATATATAACAGACTTGTTGTGGTGAACCAGCTGTTCATCATACATGGTTCATACATAACCATGTAGGTTCTCCATATCTAAAACACCCATCATTTTTTAAACACTTTGAAGTCATCATATGAAGTCACTGTAT